AATGTTTCTTTCCTAGTTAAACATCTAATCCAGATGTCTCATTTTGTCTAGGACCACAGCTGGGCGTCCTCAGGGCTGCACAAGAATACTTTGATTATCTGCTGCTTGACACCGAAGGTACAGATTATTTAATGCAACTTACTGGCCAGTTGGCAGGGAGGCTAAACTAAGGCAAACAAATCCCCAGGACAGTATGATGTTTGGGATTCTGGGAGGATCTGACCATGCCACCAATGAAGGATTTAGAATTCTCTCTACCCTCCAACTCTGCCCCCACCCAGGTACCTGAAGTAGGCAGGAGAGGTCCTGCTTTCATTTCTTTTTTTTTTTTGGCCGGGGCTGGGTTTGAACCCGCCACATCCGGCATATGGGGCCGGCGCCCTACTCCTTTAAGCCACAGGCGCCACCCCTGCTTTTAATTTCTTTCTCTCCTTTTTTTTCCCCTTGAGACAGAGTCTTACTTTGTCACCCTGAGTAGAGTGCTGTGGTGTCACAGCTTACAAAGACCTCAAACTCTTGGGCTCAAGCAATCCTCTTGTGTCAGCCTCTCGAATGGGGGAGTATAGGTGCCCACCACAATGCCCGGCTATTTTTTAGAGACAGGACCTTGTTCTTGCTCAGGCTGGTCTTGAACTCGTGAGTTCAAGCAATCCACCCGCCTCAGCCTCCCAGAGTGCTAGGATCACAGGCACGAGCCACCAAGCCCAGCTAAAGACCTGCTTCTTCTTCTTTTTTTTTTTTTTGAGACTGAGTCTCACTATGTCACCCTTGTAGAGTGCCATGGGGTCACAACTCACAGCAACCTCAAACTCTTGGGCTTAAGCGATTGATTCTCTTGCCTCAGCCTCCCAAGTAGCTGGGACAACAGGCACCCACCACAATGGCTGGCTATTTTTTACTGTGGTTGTCATTGTTGTTTAGCTGGCCTGGGCTGGGTTCAAACCTGCCAGCCTTGGTGTATGTGGCTGGCACTGAGCCATGAAGATCTGCTTCTAATAAAAACTGTGAGCTATTTACTGATTGCTACAAATACAGCTTCCCTTTTCTTTTCTTTTCTTTTTTTTGAGACAGAGCCTCAAGCTATCCCCCTGGGTAGAGTGCCGTGGCATTACAGCTCACAGCAACCTCCAACTCCTGGGCTCAAGTGAGTCGCCTGCCTCCGCCTCCCAAGTAGCTGGGACCACAGGCGCCCGCCACAACGCCCGGCTATTTTTTGGTTGCAGCCATTATTGTTGTTTGGCGGGTCTGGGCTGGATTCGAACCCGCCACCTTAGGTGTACGTGGCTGGCGCCTTAGCTGCTGAGCTACAGGCGCTGAGCCAGCTTCCCTTTTCATTAGGAAAGGGCCCATGCCACAGACTAGGAGCTGACCACCAGGACAAGAAGCTCTCTGATTGCAGAGTACTGTCCAACTTCATTTCCTGAGACTGCTGCTGCTGTGCTAGATGGGGTTTAAGAACTGGTCCCGGCTAGGGTAGAATTGGGGCCCACTCCCTTATAAGCCCTCCAAATTCTGCTTTCTCAGGAACAATTCTAGTTCTGGCAAATCCCTAAGCCTGAGTATCCCCTACACACTCTTATCTTAGGAATACAAAATGTCCCTCTTGCTCAGGCAGTCCATAAGTGGGTGTGTCAAGGCTAGTGCAAAAGATATGTCCTATCCAGGGAGCTGATACATGAGAACTGAGAATGTGAGGGGCAGAGGTGGTAGAAGAGTTAAAGATGCCAGATGATGGAAGCAAGTAAAGTTGGAAGTACAACTCAGACTTGCTAGGCCCTTGCAAGAAAAGGTATTCTTTGAAAATTATCTCTGAGTCTCTTGCCTAATGTTGCCAGTTTAACACCAGGAATATTCATAGAAAAATAAAGATCTATTACATACTTCCCATACGCCCAGGTTTTCTCCTATAGCTAAGATTCCTTCTCTTTTTAGTCAGAGTCCTTGGTATTCTTCTATCTAATGGACTGGTTATTAAAAACTTGGATTCTTATTCTAGTTGGTGTTTGGATTAAAGAAAAACAAATTGGAGAAAGTGTTGAAGAATGCAGAATTAAACATTTATATGGACAATGATGGGCTTTAATCAGATCTGACTGAATCAAATATGAAAATTTTGGAAATATGAGACCCTTAAGAGGGTCTTAAAAAATATTTTCTCTGGTGATGCCTATAGTTCAGTGGATAGGGCACTAGCCACATACAGCCCAGCTGGCGGGTTCAAATCTGCCAAGGCCAGTGACAACTGCAACAAAAAACAACAATGACAACTGCAACAAAAAATAGCTGGGCGTTGTGGCGGGTGCCTGTAGTCCCAGCTACTTGGGAGACTGAGGCAAGAGAATCACTTAAGCCTAGGAGTTGGGGGTTGCTGTGAGCTGTGACACCATGGCACTCTACCGAGGGAAACACAGTGAGACTCCGTCTAAAATAAATAAATAAATAAATAAATAAAATAGCCAGGCATTGTGGCAGGTGCCTGTAGTCCCAGCTCCTTGGGAGGGTGAGGAAAGAGATCACTTAAGCCCAAGAGTTTGAGGTTGCTGTGAGCTATGATGCCACAGCACTTTACCCAGGGCTATAGCTTGAGATGCTGTTTCCAAAAAAAAAAATTTTTTTTTTCTCTGACAGTATCAATGAAATTTGTAAAGTACTATTAATGGGTATGAATATAGTCACTAACCAAAGAGTCTGTGTACTGGGAAACTGAATAAATTATTTTTAATAAAGATGACTATGATTTTTGATTGTTTAAAATAATCCTCAATGAAAACTCTGATGACAAAAATTATCTAAATGGTCTTTTTCTGTACATACACTTTAGAATGGGATGCTTTCCAAGCTGAATGTCCTTAAATTAATATTAAAGGAAGCAAATTGATTCTCTATTTTAATAGACTTACCTGTTTCCCTATTCACCTTGATTTTTAGGGGCAGTACTAACTTTTAAGTCAATTTCTATTCTTTCTGGAGGATGCTAAGATGATGATTGTATTTTTATTTTTATTTTTATTTTTTTTTTTGAGATGGAGCCTCAAGCTGTCCCCCTGGGGAGAGTGCCATGGCATCACGCTCACGGCAACCTCCAACTCCTGGGCTCAAGCGAGTCTCCTGCCTCCACCTCCCAAGTAGCTGGGACTACAGGCGCCCGCCACAACGCCTGGCCATTTTTTGGTTGCAGCCATCATTGTTGTTTGGCGGGTCCAGGCTGGGGATTCGAACCTGCCACCTTAGGTGTATGTGGCTGGCGCCTTAGCCGCTTGAGCCACAGGCGCCGAGCCATGATTGTATTTTTAAATAAAAGCAGTCAAAAGTAATTTTGAAACACTGTTTAGTTCCATTTCGAACTGTACAATGACTTCTCTTTTAACTCCTCAAAGGCAAGCCATAAGAGTTAACATCTATTTACAAGCATACCATAACTTCATGTGTAATGCTGAATTCCTCTGACTGGAGGCGAGTATGAGCTGTGGTTCTAAGAAGCTGGACTATTTTAAATTTGGAACTCTAGATTAAATTTTGTTAGTTAGTATAGTTAACACTTCAGCAGTAGCAGGAATTTTAATAATTCTATCTATGAGGAAGCAGGCCCTACAACCTGCTCTTAAACTCATTGGTTTATGTGGTGACTACTAACAACAGGACCTATTAAATTGGGTCAGATCTAGACAAGTTCACTGACTGATTCCTACACTTAGAAGTGTCACTCTCAGAAGAGAATGAAAGCAGGTGATGAGCCCCTCTGTGTCTTAGGTTCCCTTCCAGTTGGTTATTTGTTTGGAGGACCATAAGTTCACATCAGGCTGGAATCAAAATCGATCCAAGTCTCCCTAGTCACAAGCCATCCAGTGCTCTTCCCCCAGCACTCTGACACACTACCTTTAGCATACTGCTCTCTTACTATGGCCTTGCTCTTTCCCTTCAACTATCCCCTTGCTATGTTCCTCTCCTCTTCCATATTTGTACATTTTTCCTTTCCTCTAATACTACAGCAACCTCTTGGTCCCTGAGCCTCACAAACACAGTAACCTGAATGTACTAGAGAACTCCTTTCCTTTCATGTATGTATATCATATTTCTCCAGCTAGATGGTACCTAACCTCTTTGGGACAGGCTT